CCTGGACGGAAAGCTTGGCTATCAGTGGTCACATCAATCCTAGTAATATGGACAGGTTCGATCATTTGGTGAACTGGTAAGTATGTACTCTTTACGGATATACAGCACGCAAACTTTATACTCCATCTCGGAGCTTTATCACATCACCATTAGCCAACACCACATGACATCAGAGAATAATCTTGTCACTTGTGGTGGAGATCAGATCAAACGAATGGGCGGTCTGTATGTATAGGATATACACAAAGACACGGGGAAATGAGAGAGTATTGTCGGCACTAGACCAACTAGAAGCGGCCTCGCTTACTCTATCGGTCCAAATTATGGACAAAAGTAGAGTGATGCGATTGTGGCAAGGCGAAATCTCTCCAGAGGCGGTTCACCGAAACAGATCATCCCCATCAGAACTGGAACACTGATCGTCTCACTAGCGATAGCCGCAGGCCTTCCTTTCAAGACGCAACCACGCTGGGGGATGTATCACCAAACCTTAGCTTCGGCGCTAGAAATACAGTAGAAGGATTCTTCGTGGCCGCTTTCACCGCTTTACCCGCTTAACACACTTACCGCTTCTGGTCTGATATGCAGCAATCGACATACCCAAATCTCGTACTAAGTTAAATACGTACCCCGTACGGTACTCCGGAGTAGGTATGTGCTCGTGGCGTCTTTCTGGGATGGAGGGTTATAATGATTAGTCTATATGAGGCTTATTATGGTGAAACCGGGCAAACGGGTATGCTGCTATGTATAGATGTTGGTTGTTAACATCACTCAAAGAAAATAAATCGGCCAAGTGGCCGCGAACCTTATTTAATCCAAGCCGCGGGACGTGTGGTATTGGAATCAGGCGATCATTTCTGGTTATCAAATATATACTACTTTGCTCCTGCTAGAGCCTAGCGGTCCTCTTGTGGCAATCCATACGGACAACATATTCAACCTAGATTTAATATGGACTATAAGGCTAAGGAACTATGTTGTTTTCCAGCCTCCCATTTATATTAATGACTCACCCCTCATCTCCGAAGTACGGACGAGAAAGTAGCAGTAGTAAGCTACCAAGGAGGTACTACCAAGTTAAGCTCGCCCTCCCCGGTGTATTGTCATATATACCGAATTCGATGCAATACTGTAATTTGAAAATCTGATACCGCCTCAGGTGATATCTCTCCCTGCCACTTGCATGATCTTACTGTCCTACCTCTTGCTGCAGCCATATAAAAATCAATGTCAACCCAATGTTGTGACTTTTACTGTGGGTCAATACACACCCAAGTTCACCGATTCTAAAATGCCACATGTGCTATTCCACCGATTCCAAAAGGTGCGAAGAACGGAAGAATATCTGATAGGTGGATCTTAGGGATTGTATCCATCCAGCTGAGGATCTCCAGCAGGGCGGCGTTACGCGCCATGGTAGACTCGAAATAGGGGTACTAGTACCGGCTGACCGGGACTATAGTGACAGAGTTGACCTTATACATCAATATATTTCGGTAGTTCAAGAGAGTACCCTTTATTCGGCATCAGTCGACAAGAGACGTGTCCCTAGGTAGGTCTTGTGATCTATTGCCAAGCTGCAATTGAGTTGATACTGATCCATCCATTGGCTTCGACTCCCCCTGATCGGCTAGTAGTCTAACTTACTAGTAGAAAGTACGAAGAAAAATACCAAATTCAAGTCACCATGGACGCGAAATTCATAGACTTTCAAATACCATTTTCGTATGTTCGTGCGGCCACTCAGGTTCGCTCGCCTACCGCCATTTTTCCGTACCTACATTAGCAGACAGGAAACAAAAGCTACAGGTAACAGCGAAAGTGGATTGGGTGGAGAGGGACGTTGGGGCCAGTGGCTGGATCTAAATCCCGAGGCGAGGATACACATTCTTGGCGGCCACCATCTGCTCGTTGAGTTCTTCTAGAAAAGCGAGAAAATGGGTAAAGGCACAGAGAGTTCAACTTCGGTGGGCCCCCCTTCACCCATTCCCCTGTAATTACCAATCATGCGTAAGGCACACAGACCGACGGAGGTATGGGCTAGGTATTTCGGTAATGTAAGGAACCAACCTACCGCGCATGCCGCCGCTGTACACAGTACCGGAAACAGCCCAGCATTTCTAAGTTGGGGTTCGACATCACCATTTCCAATAAAAGTAGTAGTACTCAATCCTACCCCAGTGCGGTGCGCACCAGCCATCGACCTCATGTAGACCGCCTTCCGTGCGCCACTAGCCCGTGCGCCACCACTAACTGCAAACAATGCAAATCCTCATTCATACTCAGCGGTTGGATGTTGAGAGCCGAAATTTTTGTCGGCATTAATCGAGGTAGAAGGCTTGTTTGCGCCAAGCATTGAATCTACCTGTATCTGCATTGGAATTTAGGATTCCAATTCCTACCCATCGATTATTTACCCGTCGCTTTAGGCAAGAAAGGTGGCCATTTTATCGAAACAGCTGTTTTGATGATGGCGCCGGAAACCGCTCAGTCGCAAACGCCGGAGGCCCCCATGCGCGATCTTCAAAACGACGTACCGGTCACGGGTACATTAGAGACTGGCAATAATGAGGAGCGCCCCTCGAAGAAAGCAAAGTTGGATGATGCCTCAACATCTGACAACAACTCTAGCAATGGTGCCCCTCAGCGCATGAGGGGTATCGCACCCGTTAAGCCAGAGTATGTTAGCGCAGGAGCAGCTATCTGCGGTGTACCTTATTAACTAACTATATGCTAGATTCATTATCCCAAGAGCTACGAACACAGAACCGCAACCTAATACGGACGACGCTGCCGAGGCCACACGTCACGAGGGGGCCCAAGGGCAAGAGACAGGGAAGAAGAAAAAGAAGAAGCCTACTGGACAAAACACAAACCGCACTTTTGGATCGTCTCAGGACGAAAAGGGCCTCTGTCCGAGCAGGATCCTTACACCTGAGTTCTCTCCAGGAGTTTGCCAATGGGGCGAAAAGTGTCGTTTTGAGCACGACCTACGAACCTACTTGAAGGAATACAAACGTGGTGATCTGACAACGTTTGATGGCGTGTGTCCAGTTTGGGACGCAAAAGGCAAATGTCTCTCTGGGTGGAAATGTCGTCTGGTGGGCTCTCATATGACTGAACGCGAGACGGCCGATGGCAGAAAAGAATTGGTGCTGGTTGAAGATGAGGAGCGCAAAAAGAAAGCACAGCCACTTGTTCCTTTTGCGGTCGAGGATGGTACTGCAAATATTGCTCCAATAGAAGCTAAGATTGCGCTAAACCGCAAGAAGGTCAAGACGCCTCGAGCTGATGCATACACAAATTGGCTGGACAAAACCTCTAGAGAACTGGAGAAAGTAATTCACAACCGGAATGTTCTTGAAGAGCGGGGCGCGGAGACCAAGGCCGAGCAGGTTGAAAGAGAAAAAGAAGAGAACCGGGCACAATACCTAGAGCCCCCATTCTTACCGTCGGAAAAAAGACGTATTTACTTCGGCCCGGAAACTCCTGTTTTAGCACCTCTAACCACCCAAGGAAATCTCCCCTTCCGGAGACTTTGTATAGAACTTGGTGCACAGTTTACTTACTCGGAGATGGCTCTGAGTATGCCATTGATTCAGGGTCAACGGGGAGAGTGGGCATTGATGAGAGCACACGAGACGGAAATGCTACCTCCAACTATTTCTCCAGGAGCTGATATAGTGCAAGGATATGATCACTCAAAAGATCTTAGATTCGGCGCCCAAATTGCGGCAAACAAACATTGGCAAGCGCTCAAGGCGACCGAAGTACTGTCCGCATACACCCCAAACCTCCGTGTTATCGATCTGAACTGCGGTTGCCCTATTGACTTGCTCTTCCGTGAAGGAGCTGGGTCTGCCCTTCTCGAACACCCGTCGAAGCTCGAGAGGATCCTTCGCGGTATGAACGCAGTTTCACAAGAAATACCTATCACCGCCAAGATTCGCATGGGAACCAGAGACAATTCACCCAATGCACTCAGGCTGGCAGAGCGTTTAATTCTTGGGGGCTACGAGTCCAGTACCCTTGGGCTTGGTGCCCCTGGTGTAGCAGCCATCACCCTGCATGGTCGGAGCAGGCAGCAACGGTACACAAAACAGGCAGATTGGGGATATATCTCTGAGTGTTCTGCTCTTATAAAGAGACTGAATGAAAAGACGGATCAAGTCACAGATACCGTACGAGAGCCGGACCCACGGACCCAGCCGAATGGAGGCAAGACATGGTTCCTTGGGAATGGAGACTGTTACTCGCACCTGGATTACGATGACCACGTTAACAATGCTGGTGTCGATACTGTGATGGTTGGTCGAGGTGCTCTGATCAAGCCTTGGTTATTTGAGGAGATTCAGGCAGGCCAGTACCTCGATAAGTCTGCGTCCGAGCGTTTATCGTTGGTTGAGAAGTTTGCCAAGTATGGTCTGGAGACATGGGGATCAGACGAGCATGGAGTTGGCACCACACGGCGCTTCCTTCTTGAGTGGTTGAGCTTCGCCTGTCGCTATATTCCCATCGGATTGCTTGAATACCTTCCACCACATATTCAGGACCGACCGCCGTCTTGGAGAGGCAGAAATGAGTTGGAGACTCTTATGGGCAGTCAAAACTACAAAGACTGGATAACGATTACGTAAGTTGCTTCTTTTCTCCCTCCCTTCTTGATGCGCTTAGTGCTTCACATGGATATTAACCTGCTGTGTAGAGAAATGTTCCTCGGTCCAGCCCATAAGGACTTCAAGTTCGAGCCGAAACATAAGTCCAACGCCTGGGAGGGGGAAGCGGAGGGATGAACCTGTGATGCCGCGTAGATACAGATTTAGTTACAAGGAACATATCTGCATTAAAAGTAGTGAATGAAACGGCCATATTGTATAGAAAGAAAAGCATAATTGACACGTGATTGCGCCACACTCCGAACTAGGTAGAAATACGTCACGTGATTAGCATTTCAGCTCCGGGCGGTGATGACGTCTACCTTGCCGAAGCTGAAAAGGACCACCTCATCTTCATCGCCCTGGGTACAAAAAAAGCCTCTGATCTCATTCCACCGCCCAGAAAAATAACTCGTCTCCTGATTCCAAGGCTCTGTAATATATATTCAGAGCTTGTTGCAGCCATCCTTTGAGTACCTGATACTGTCCTTGGCACATCTTATCTTTTGTTTACCGCGAGCTTCCCCCACGACCACAGGTTGATAGCATCCCCTGAAGCTATTTCCATCGTCAATTGTCGAATTGGGGTATTAGTGCCAGGCAAAATGACTCTCTACTACAGTCTTGTAAGTTTGTTCTGTATCTCACTTGCAGACTGACACCAAATCGACCATATCAAATTGCAGAATAGGGTGTAGCCTACAGTTCCGGCTGTGCCGAGGATATATTTCGAATTGTTCTGATTACACAGCTCCAAACCGTACTAACTTCATCTGTGTAGGTGTTTTGCCTTCTCGTGTTCGAGATGGTGATCTTTATGGGACTTATTGTCCCTCTGCCTTTCACAATCAAGCGGAAGCTGTTCACCTTCATCTCTGAAAGTCCGGCAGTAGCGAAACTACAATATGGAATGAAGGTAAGCTCCTAGTTACTTACGATAAGGGGTTAGACTTCTTGTTGACAAACTTTTTAGATTACATTCATCTTCATTTTGATCCTCTTCATTGACAGCGTGAACCGGGTGTACCGTGTCCAGCTGGAGGTGACTAACTTCTCGAAGGAGAACATGGGGTAAGTAATTTGCCTCACTTCAATATATTTTTGGTGAACTAGACATATCTAACAATACTTCTTGCCAACAGAGCGGCTGCCCTCGGCACTGACCGCATGGAAGTCCAGGCCCGGAAGTTCTACTCTCAACGTAACATGTACCTTTGCGGCTTCACCCTCTTCTTGTCTCTTATCCTCAACCGCACCTACACTATGATCCTTGATGTCCTCCGCCTTGAAGACAAGGTCAGGGTTCTCGAGGGCGACAAGAAGGCCGGTGGAAAGGACTCGGCTCGCCTTGCCGAGGCTGGAAACGCCGGCGAGATCGGACGCCTGAAGAAGGAGCTTGATGCAAAGAACCGTGACATTGAGACCCTGAAGAAGCAGTGCGAGGGCCTTACCCGCGAATACCACAGCCTGGGTGATAAGGTTGCCGGTAAGAGCGACGATGACACTAAGAAGGACCTGTGAATTCTTTCGTCGACTCAGAACTTGGAAAGCAATTCTGTGTGGTCTCAAGCGAAAGTATTTCATGAGATAAGACAGGATCTTCGAGCGGCTTTTATGGTATCAAAACGATGCTCGTGGAACCTAAGCGTCCCGCTTACTACTCGCTTTCAGTTGTGACGATACAAGTGAAAGGCTGTGCAGTAAAGCAATAAGTCAATAATCATGTGTGATAGATCTATGGTTCCCTGCTTTAACGGATAAGGTGGTTGTTTGTTTGTGGCGATATTCAGACACGTGGTGACGAGGGAGGTCTATACGCATTGTATGATATTTTATCCCTTGGTGGTTGACATATCAAACAAAAATCAATCAAGACATTCTTCAACGAGTACACAGTATTCCAGTGCAGGTGACTGCAAACCTCCTTCGATAAATCCAACAGGTCTGGAATCTCGTAAAACTCGCCATCGCCAGGACTATCAATTGGACTGGGATTGGCTAAGACCACAGTCTCTAAATGTAGGTTATGTCAACTTGCACCGAAGCTTTACGAACTTTGTATACAACCGTGTACTCCCTTACATAGTGGTGGCACCTACAAGCCGCTCAAAATATTAGAAATAAAAATACAAATCGGACCAAGCGGGGATAATTAGCTCAAGACTAAAAGGGGCCCGCACGAAGCATTTTGAAGGTGTAATTGAAAATGAATCATGATGAGGCGTTAGATTAGCCTGTGGCGCTGTTGCTGGCGGAGCGGAAAGCCTGTCCGATATGGGACTATAACATGTATCGCCATGTTTTCACCCTCCCCGCTTGACTAGTCCACTCAAGTATTAGGAAGGTGGCGCATGGCAAAAGGGGGGAATTCGATTGAATTAGTAGCTCAAGCGGTGGCTGCCTAACCAGGCCCTAAAAATGGAAACATAAATTGTCAAATTTGAAAAGCGCTAGACTGGTAATTGTGGATTTTCTTTTGAGGGTGACACTTCGAGGACAATTATCAAACAAAACACATATTCCATAGATAGAGTATCATGCATCTAGATCATAAGCTTCCTTGGAACACAATTTCTTCACACTTTGGCTTCATCAAAGAAAACCAATACAAGAACCGCAAGAACGACTTTGTTATCCAGGACCGCTTTGCTGATCGCCAACCCGCTGAGCTAAACCACTTTACCAAAACCCTTATCTCCGTGATCGAGGAGTTTGCGACTACTGAGCGAGCTAAGTATCCACCGTCTACCGCTCTGCCAACGTCCGGTCCTCTCTTCGACACGTCTATCCTACCGGCCATCGAACAAAAGTACCACCTCGAACCACACAGAACAAACTCCGCAGTCTCCAATCCCCTCTGTGAAGAATTCCAGAATGTCGAACATTGGATCAGCCACGCTCCATATAGCACGGCTGATGGGGACCTAGCTGACGCCGTGAAAATGCTACTTATATCGAACGAAATGCTCGCTTTACTACGTCTGGCAAACCACATGAAGGTCCCGCTAGCGACCCTTGATAATCTAAGTTGGGGCCACAGCTTCGGTGTCAACCATCTTCCGGACGTAGCTCTACAAGCCTACCTACTACTGAACATTGCCGCCGCTGTGAAAGCCAATGCCAAGCGCGGGTCTGCAGATGACACTGTTCGTCTGACGGAGACGCAGCGGTTCAGGTACTTCGCTGATTGGGCTTTGGCGGATCATGACTATCCGGCACAGAATATCCCGCATCGTTTATTTTGGAATGCGAAGGGCATTACTGATTTTCAATGCCCATCGTGGGATCCGTTGAGCCTTGACACGGATGCGGAAAGGGGAGAAATGAAGGCGTATTTGAAGATGTGTTTTGAGTTATTGTACCGGTATGACCTTTTGATGAGGGAGCTGGGTAGAGATCCAGAGTGGACGGAGAGAATCTTGGGTATTCTACGTCTGTGGGGAGCACGGTCTGTTACGATGAATGAGTCGGGTTTTTGCTTTGCCTGATTGCGCATGATGGACCTATGATCTACAGCACAGTGGGAAAAGAAAGGATATGCGAACTAGGCACTCCATAGAAGTATCCATAGCTGAAGTATGAGATTCTAGTCCTCGCATACCTAACGTCTGGGAGGAATTTATGGTCTAGGTTTCTTCAAGTGATTGTCGTAAGTCAGGTGACGATGTATACCCTACATGAGATGCCATATGAGATGAATGACTTGGGGGTACACATGAGCTGCCAAGACTGCCAAGATAACACGCTAGGTCGATGCTGCATGACGTGGCCAATTAAGTATATGCCATAGGTCAGTTGGCGGTGCATATTGCCTTCTTTTACCCAGAGCGGAGAACATAGTGTCTCTTGATAACGGTCAGCCTCAACTCATGCATTACTCAGCTTCTAACACCATTGAGAATGACAGTCTTAGTTTATAGTAGGTTTGATGGTGCAGCCTGACACTAGCAGAGAGGCTGAGTATCTGCGGTTGTATGGGGCTTAGGGAGGGATACGATGGAAATAGTAGAATAAGCCCCAGCCATAGATTGACAAGCAGCTGCAATGAAAGAAGTGGAGAAACTATGGGGACTTTCAGGAGTACTACCTAGTACGTCCATACAAACAACATATGTCTCCATGGGCGTTTCTTGACGTGTACATTGTACTTTGGCAAGATCGATCAATAAGGGGGACACAGATTTGCCACCAACTTTGAATGGTCTGCTTGTACGGTGCTCGTGTAACGAAATATGAAGTAGCAGGATCGAGGATTGCATAAAAGACAAACGTCGAGTATTCTTTTTCCAGACTAAAGAAGCAGCCTTGATAGGAAAAAGAGTTAGTATACCCATGTTCTTCGTATAGAATGAGTATGAAACTTTTGCCTTCTAAAATACAAAAACCTAACGGCTCCAGGATATTGATGCTTGTACGCCGATCTCGCTGTTGAATTACGGAGTATGAAACACGATTGCCCCTTATTCCTACCCAAGTACAACATGAATGCTTAGGGAGATCAGGAGTCTCAGCATATACTTCGGTAATGCAATTGTACTGTACGCAGTGGTCACATCTAGTAAGAGTGGAAGGTCATATGCTCATTACATTATCAAGTAAAGTTTTTCTTATGGGCAATTGATGCTTTTTATTTTGCCTTTTTTAAACTTCGTCTGGAACATTGTACATCGCCACTACTACTAATTAATAAATTAGTACTAGTAGTAGTAAGAGTATTGGGTGTCGAGTCAGTGGTCCAGTGACGACGTCACATTCGGCATCACCGCTTTCGTAGATCTCCGGATCAAATCTTACAGTAATTTGCATACCAAATCAATATCTGACCAATTCATATGAACAATCTGATAGAGCATGGAATAAAGGAATTATTCGTGGTTTTTAATTTCCGAGACTCTTTGCCCCCTCCCCTTCTTCGCTCTCTCCTGAGTTTGATTCCAGGATAGGATTTAATCTCCTGAGTGTTTATAATTTCTTTTTGAGATTGTCCTGGGATTCCAAGTTGATCGACCGCCTTTGTGTATTCGTTTTTCGCCCCTCTCTCTTTTTTTTTTTTTTTTTTTTTTCTCTTCTGGACTCGCATAGCGTGGCGTGGCATACCCTGTCTGATTTTTGTTCTATGAAGGTGTACGACGAACGGTGAACTCCTCTTTTCTTTTTCCTTCTGATGCTCATTGGTCACAGTACAGTCTATGCAATAATACTCATGTGTAAGTATTCTTCCAAGAGATCTGAGCCCTT